CTCAAAACCAATGCCAAAACCATATTTTTGAGTGAAGGATATTTGTGGAAGGTTTGAACGAAAAAGAAAGAAAGTATTTAAGTTGTGAAACCAAAGCAAGTTGGACAGGAATGATTCTGGTTCAAATAAAATATACAAATAACGTTAGGAATCACGACTATCTAGAATGATATGATATTATTCATTTTAACGAACAAAGTACACTAATAGACCCTCTCCCAGACCCTATAAAGCTCTCAAACAGTCTCTCTCAACTCTTTTTTTAGAGCGCTTGAATAAAGGAGTTTGAGCTTCCCAAAAGGTTTCATAACAAAAAAGATGTATTTTCTCACCTATAAACTTACTATCATTCTCTTCTCTAAAGGAGTGAGACGCCCTCCAAACAGATTTTAAATTATATTTTAAATATTAGGTTTTAAAAAAAAAAATTCCAAAACATAACTGGTTTCATGGCTTTGCTCAATTTTGAAATTAATTATTTTTTCCCAACTTGGAGCCGAGCTGAATTGAAGATAAATGGGGCGAGGCCCATTTGTAATTTGTGGGTTGGGCGAACCCTTTTCACACATACAAATAATTCATATAAAAATTTGAGTTGGTCAAAATTCATATAAAAATATTTGGTAGGTTTCTTTTATGTATTTAGGTATTTATTTATTTATTTGTGGGTTAAGTTCAAAGCTTATCCTTTACTCGTTCATCCTGAACTTCCCCCATTAAGTCTAAAATTTATCCTTCCTCTCGTTTATCTCATTCCACCCCGTTGTACCACATAACACCCAAATCAAATATCCTGTTATTTTATATATTATTATTATTATTATTATTATTATTATCATTATTATTATTATTGTATTCCACGTTTTTCTCCCCCAACATTTTTGTTTGTAATAAAAAAATAATAATAAATAAAAAGCTATATTTTATATTCACGAAATAATAATAATAAACATAAAAACGTATTTGGTTGAATGAACATTTCAATAAACATAAAAACGTATTTGGTTGAATGAGTATTGAGTTTGGAGGAGTATTGGGTGTCTTTCACAAAGATAAAGTCCCACCTTATTAAGGAATTATAATCAAGTAATCTCCATTGTTATACAGGTCTATATAGGTCTTTTGGCTTATTGTTATAAGGTCTTCTTCTTCCGAAGCTTTTTGGGAAAGCCCAAAAAAAATTTTAAAAAAACCAAAAAATCTTACTGAGACATTTTGAGAAAGCCATATCATACAAGGGCGAAAGTATTTATTATTATTGTTAAAGGAACTATAATTCTTATTAGGTCAATAATAAATAATTATGAGCGGAGAATTTTCACCGCTCTTTAGCAAATATTATCACAACCAAAATTTACATCAACGATGATAGGGAAGATGAGTATTGTCAATATTGAAACGCGAGAGCAAAAAACATGAAGCCGGATTCAATGTTATCAAATCTAAGAACCATTTTCAAGTAATCAAAGAACCATTTTCAGTCTCAAGCGTACAGAAAAAAGGAAAGGAGATACAAAATTTTCAACCATTTGGCATTTACGTTACATATATGTATGAGAGGAGCTGAGATCCTTAGTGTCATTGGACGGCATAAACGCCAGCACCATAAGCATTCCCAGAAGCCCAATCGGAAGGAGCAGCAGCAGCATCAACGGCGGCGGCGGCAGGGGAGGCAGAATCAACGGAAGAATCAACAGCGACGCTGCCAGGCATATCAGCACCCCCAAATAGCTCGCTGCCGGCACCAACCGCCGCGCTTTCCCCTGCGATAGAGACCGCGCGTACTCTACCCGCCGCCGCTCCTGCGCGTAATACGAAATCCTATTGGCCGAATCGGAAGTGAAATTGGAAGTGGACCTTCCGTCCATGAAATAACAGGGCTGTTTTTGGCTCCGCTGCTGCAGATTTACCCAGTCGTCGGGATTCGGAACGCCCCGCTCCTCGGCTTCTGGAAATCCAAGTCTCATTGACGAAATTTCAATTGGATGGCTCCAAATCAACCCAAGATCAATCGTAAAGCCCTAGAATCAAAAGTGATGTAGAGATTTGGGGAGAAACTGAAAAGAAAAGCGCAGATCTACGAGAGAGAAGAGGAATTGGGGAGAAATCCGTTGAAATGGAAATCGAAGAAGGGGAGGTGGAGAAATGGGGGGGAATTTATGGAATGATGATGGAGAAGGCGGTGAATGGGAGGAGAAGAATGTATGGAGAGAGGGGATGAATAATAGTGAATTGATGGGGTGGTTGGTCACAGCACACAGAACAGAGGGTTTTGGCGTATAATTTTATTTTTGGTTAAATTTTAACGTTACTGAAGCGTCAAAAGGGAAGAGAGAAGGATGGGTTCAGTGAATTTCATACGCCAAGTGGAGTTTACGAAACAAATACAACTTGCTGCTTTTAGAAAGATAACGAAGAATGTGTCTTCCAAGGTTCCGACCCCCTGCCCTCCTTTCTCTTTTCTTCTTTTATTTCAACTTTTTACGCAATTTCTTTTTTTTCTTTTTATTTTCTGTCTTATTCCTTTTTTTTTTTTTTTTAATTCACTCGCTTTTTCATATAATTTAATTCTATATCTAACTTTTTTTTTTCTTTTTTTTTTTTGTCTAGATCGAGTGTGTGACGTTGCGCGGTTCTAATATTTTTCTCCTCAGTTCAATGCATTAGTACAACTGAATCTTCCCTTTGCACTCACTGCGATAGCTATTGCTTTTCGTGCCTTCTTTCTTAGTGTCCAGACGACGTTTATTCGTTTTATTATCTCTATATGAATTGTACTTTTAATTTTTATGGGTTATGAAATTATAGGATCTCGGGCTTGTAACAAGCCTAAATTTTGCTTCTTAGGGTGTGGTCATTTTGCATAGTATTGAGTTTAGTTTTTCGGGTTGCCTAAATTTTGCTTCTTAGGGTGTGGTCATTTTGCATAGTATTGAGTTTAGTTTTTCGGGTTTTTTTTCGTCTTTGACTGAATTTGAATCTCAAAGTTGGATAAATGGAATGAGATGGTTGGTTTAATAGTAGTGTATGTTGTAGACCGAAAGCAAGAGGGAGATGAAAAATGAGAGATATTAGATGGAAAGAGATAAAAAGATTTNCCCCCCCCCCCCCCCCCCCCCTTTTATGCGTGTTTTTAGCCAAACACATGCATCGAAGGAAAAGAACCCAATTCTAAAATCAAACAAAAAGTTTGAATATTTAGAATTAGCTGAAGCAGAAGAACAAAGTCCAAAAAATGGTTAAAACCTGGATCATGAGCCATTAAGAACACAATTAACTTTAATATATATACAAAAGATCTAAAAGGAAAAGGAAAAGAAATGAGAAGGGGGTGTAGATGATGGGAAAAGAGGGGATGAGATGCCAAAAAGATGGCCACAGAAATGGAAGAAAAATAGATATGATTTCAACATGTCATGCCAGTGTTCCTATGATACACAAATCTATATTCCCAAAATGCCCCTCCATCCCACACATTCCATGACACATGTCCTTTTCATTTTTCCTTGTTCCACACTAACCCAACATATCCTTCATCCCTTTCCACACTCTCCCCATCCGATTACTATACCTCACTAATATACACACATCAAAGAAGTGTTAAAAACAATGGTGACCTAATATGCAATTACAACTTTTAACTTGAAACCAATGCAAGCTGAAGTATTGTGATCCAGAAACAGCCACGTGATGAATGAGGTGGGAAAATATTGGGCGCGACAGTGAGAGGGAAGGGGGAAAATCAGAAGAGACGGGACAGGGTTTGATTCTTATTATTAATGGTAAGCAAGCATGTGAGTTGCACATGCCTTACAGCTCCTCTTTGGGTCTTTCTCATTCTTTTGCAATTCAATGCATCTTCCTTGCTTGCCTACCCAATCACCCAAACCGGCCTTCTAATTCCCACCCCCTATCTTTCCCTTTCAATCCTTTTTCCTTTTTCTAATATTCCAACTCAACTATAAATAAATATTTTCCCCCACTCCGGGGGGCATAATTGTAATTCCATACTCCCACTCTTCAAACTTCCTCTTCAATATTCAAACTTGGTGACTTTATTATTCACTCACTTAAATCATTGTCTAGAGAGGAGGGATGGAGGGATGGAGGGAGGGATAATTTAGTTTCAAGTTTAAGATGTGGATGTGAGCGTGTCAAATGCCACGCGTCTTAAACTGAGAGAATTAAAAAAAAAAAAAAAAAAAAAAAAAAAAAAAAAA